ATAATTACTATGTTTTCAAGGGTTACCGTGGCGTCCAATTATAAGAACTAAGTTTAGAATAGAAAAAATCAATATAATTTTTTGAAATTTCAAAAATTAATGAGCCATTTTAATTTTAATTTAGCCCTACTAGTGTTTTTGGCGCTTTCGGTTAGTCAGTTGTAACGAATTTGAAAATTTAGAGATGAAAACCATGCTAAACATTAAGCAGAGCTTCCAAAGCGCGACCATGCTCTGTTGTTGTTACTAGTATGTCCAACCAAAAACGCTTGATCCACCACCTACTTCTTTGCTTTTATTGTTCCGACTACCTTCGTCTGACTATTTTCGATACTTGTGCTCGGGGTGTTTTTATTCTCCAGACACTTTTCGACTTTTAACTAGCAATTTTTTTCATTTTTCTTTTTGAAAATTTCATCAAATAGTTTAACTATTCCATAGAAATCAAAATGCAGTCGGAACATTCAGGGCTTCTCTCTGATACGAGCAGTCTTGCTAGTTTGTGTACACTAGTAATAAAAAGTTCGTAAGTAGTATATCGGAAAAAAAACTTTCTACGCAGCAACATCTCTTCTCAGTCTCCATTAGCTGATAGGTTTATAAACTGCTTACTGATGATTTGTACAATTGTACAACTGATCCACAGACATGCAGCATACATCTCACGCCAGTCAATACCATTCTCAATTTTGCTATTGTTATGCCATTTTCAGACCATAACTTCTAACATAATAATAATAAATTGTTGCCAAACGATATCTATTTACAGGAGTTACAAACACAAACTGGAATCGTTTAGAAGAACACCATTGGATAACTGCTAATTTTTACCTTACTGATCGTAACACCTACAAAACGAGATGGCGTAAAAACTTGATTGATTAACAAGAATTGAAAGAAAGCGGAACTTAAACAGCAGTTCGGGGCTAGGTAGGACCATTAAAAACGGGGCGAATTTGTACAATATGATCGAGACAACCCCCTATTCTCTTAGAGAATAAACGTTCTCAACCGCAAGTCCTCATTGTTCCCCCTGGCTGTCATCTGCCATCATCTAATGCATCCACAGAACTGATAGCGCCGATCTCAATCCATTTGAAAGATAAAATTTTGTAGGAGCTCACCTTTTTTAATTTGTTGTTTTTTCTTCGGCCTCAAATAAAACTTACTTCGAACTGGTTATTTGAAGAAGGTATTTAAAAACGAGTATAGGAAGATAATTATCCCAAACCCTGAGTTTTCCCAATGTACATTAGGGATTTATGTACATAATTGCTTACGACGCATAGGGGAGAGGAATAAAGGGTATCGGTGCTCGTCTTTTATTTAGTTGTTTTAATTTGAAATTAAATTTGAAATTATTATTTTTTTGTAATTTTTCCGGTCCCACATTACTTTTTGATATACGCACTGTTGTAAAGCTAGCGGTTAATCCCAGTCTGCATCGTCCGTTGACGAATGCTTAACAATCACTTCAATGCGCAATCAAATATCTCAATCGCCGATAAAGTTGCCCTAAAAGCTCAAGTAAGGATGCGGGGAGTATTTTTGCACATAATTTAAATGCCTAATAAGTTGTCTTGAATACATATATTTATTATTAGAAAGGAAAGAATATGATTAATCATGAAGGATTTGAATGAGGAGTTTTCCAACTATCTTAAAATCTATAACAACGTCTCTTAAACGCTTGAGAAAAGAAATAAAACAAAAAAAGTAGGAGGTATTGAAAACTTAGGGGGATTATATATTTGAATAATTTGATATTGGACAAAATTTTGAGCAAAATCAATTCCATGTGTCTGTAGAATCTAATGAAAAGCTCTGAAAATTAATAAAAAGAATTCACAGACAGAATCTGAAATCCAGCAACAAAACAGAGCATTGACTCTGAAGTCTAATGATAAATGCTGGAATATATTTAAGTGGACAAAATTAAGCGCTAATTGAGGATTTTACAGTCTAAAATGCCTGCTTTGAATGTCCTTTTTGGACAAAATGTATTTCAAAATCAGAAACTTTCTTGCATAGACCAAGAGCAAATGATAAGAGCTACCCTCTATGAAACTATCAATATTGATTTCAATGACTAACCAATAATATCCTGGTCTGCAAATGCCAATTTTCCTCATCTGCATCAAGTTCCTTACTTCGCGTGAAATATCAGACACTTCCGAGTTTAGTAAAATTTTCACGCTGATTGTTTCCATTTTATCGCTGAGAATGTTTCACGTCGCAATTTTCTCAATCCGCTTATTCGATAAAGAGTTCGCTAGGATGCAAAATTTAGTGTAGATGATGAAAACTGGCCTTTTCAGACCCGAATCGCATAAATATGTCATTGAAACCAAATATTGATAGTTTTGTAGAGGGTAGCTTTGATCATTTGATCTTGGTCTTAAAAAAATTTCGAATTTCGAAAGTAATGTAGTCCAAAATGGACATTGAAAGCAGACATTTTTGAAGAGTAAAACCTTGAAATTGCCGTTCATTTTGTCCACTAGTGCTGGTGGACAAAATTAAGCGCAAATTAATGTTTTTCTCTCTAGTGACTGTTTTCAAGGATGATTTTGGACAACTTTGTTATTGAACGAAACTTTTACATTTATCAAGATAAAATGATCAGAGCTGCCATCTATGGAATTACCAAAGGTTGTTCTTAAAGACGTACGTGTTTTTTTCCGGGTCTGAAAATGCCAGTTTTCACTATCTGCACTAAGTTTTTCATCGTAGTGAATTCTTTCTCAAATAAGCGGAATAAAAAAATGTTCAAGCGACGTGAAACATTATCAGCCAGAAAAGGAAAAATGAAATATTCAGTGTGGCAACTTTACTAAACTCAGCTTTTTCTTACAATTTTACGCGATTTATAAACTTGGTGTGGATGATGAAAACTGGCAGTTTCAGATGCCGAAGTTCTTCAAGCTGAAAACTGATCTTTTCAGAGAGAGTAGTTTAAATCATTTACTGTCGGTCATTGTAACATTTTGTTAGAATTGGAAGTAAATTTTGTCCAACATGGTCCTTAAAATAGACTTTTAGAGCAAAAAAAACCTGAATTTGCGTTTAATTTTGCTCACTAGTTTTTGATTCAACGATCGTATGTGCAACACGATTCAAAGGTTGCAGAAAAAATACAAAGTCCGTTGGTTTATAATCCTTAGGAAAGTAAGCGAGCGTAGCGTTTCTATGTGGCTTTGTTACAGATATAAACAAAACAAAAATTGATAAGCAAAACTGCGTTTTTTCACCGGTTTAATCTTGAATTTGCAGGAAAATTGCTCTTCAGTATTTTGATATGCCTCTAAAACCGCAGTCAAAATTTTGGAGTCGCATTTTCCACTATGTAAGAACTTCCTATAAGAAATTCAGGGAAACTTCGCTATCTTGCAGTTTTCACAAAGGAAAAATCCTCAGAAAGCATATTGTTCTCAAAACGATTACAAAACTTCCAATAATACCACAAAAATTTTGAATCAGATTATATACCGTAATTACAGAAAAAATCAATTTTGGAAAAAAATTTTTTTTCCAATTTTATGCATACAACAATTCCAGCTTTTGGTTATAAAAAACACATTTCGAACAAAAATTTTGAAAGTTTTCTATAAAAATCTTAACTATACGTAATTATCGGCGCGAATTGATTTTGGAGACAATTTAAATTAAACTTTGACGAATTTTATATAGCTTCGGACGTGTTGTATGTGGGGCTCAGATATGTAATCACAAATTTTCTAGATATCAACGAAAGACTCCCCCTAATAAGTTAAAATTTACTGATTATTTCAACAAACTGTTGATTATGGCCTATGAGTTACCATTTGTGTACTCCACGAGTGGTGAGAACTTTTGATATCCCTTTCTTGTAACATTCTTAAAGCCTATTTTTTTTCCTTAAAATTATAAAATTCTTAATTTTTCTTGGATTCTTTAAGATAAGAAAGTAAATGTTCACCAAAATTATCTTTAAAAACAGGCATTTTAGAGAGTAAAAACCCGAAATGACGCGCAATTTTGCCTACTAGTGTAGCTGTGCCAAAAACTTAGATTAAAGGCTCCAATAAGAGACTCCGTCCCTAGAAAATTCTTTATTTGTGACCTGGAATACTTTATATCTAATCTAATTTTCTGGTCAGAAACTCTTTGCAAAAATTTTAATTGAAGCAGGGATTCTCTTAAAATTCTTCATTTCTCATCCTATTTTTGATCAAAAATTAGCTAAAATCTAGGCTATTTCTAGCTAGAAAAAAGTCTGCTAGTGGGACTCGCAGGCACTTGTTAAAACATCTAATGCAAAGCAACACTTGTTGAAAACATGTGTTAATTTGCATTGTACTTATACGGCTATTATTGTGTATAATCGAAGCAAGTTTATCTCGTTGCGGTTGAGCAGTGAACTGATTTCTAATTATTTGTTTCCAGAAGTTGTTTATTTACAAACTAAAAAAGAAATAGATCTTTTCTGTACAGAAAAAAAAAATTGGCTAGGTAATCTATATAACATATCTATTTAGAAAAACAGCCTTCTTTGGTACACTACTGGTAATGGATTGTTGGAGTTAAAAATATCATGATCCATCGGCGGATTTAGAGGGGTGCAGAAGGCGGACACCTTTTCCTCAAGGATTCGACCACATGCCGACCCAAAGGGTCCCCCCAATCTACTATTTTGAGATATCTATTTTTTGTAACGGGCCCTAAAGTATTTCTATAATAATTTTGTGCGGGGATTTTTATGGTCAAAATTTTCCAAAAAGTGCCTAAATTTTTGGCCTGTTTTTCAAAATTTTGCCTGCGCTGCAGAAGTTTTGGCCAAAACAAGGTCTTTGTAGCACTTTGGGAGAGCTCAGAAAATCAATTTGGTCGACCTAAAAACTCCTGATCTCAAATACTTTGCTCAAGATTCTCTTTAGCACTTCTAAGTCATGAGCAAATTAGACCGATAGTCTTTATTTCATCCTAAGAACCAAAATGAAAGAAACCTATGTATAACTTACCTTTCAGCGCGCGGCGCGTTGAATTTGATTGAGCTCGAAACTCATACGAATAAAAAATTAGAGATGACTTTGTTTGTTTGACTCTATCAATTCTTTCCAATAGACAAGTATGTCAAAAATCAAATCAATAAAATCATTTTTTTGTAAAAAAAATATGTTCATTGGCGCCGCCTAAGATAGAAGCCAGGAAAAAATTACTCGTTTCGAAGAATTGAGATAATGATGAATTCTCGGATGACAGACAATTAGAAGAAAGTTAAAATAGCAAAATGCAGTGCCAATAAAAAAACGCAGAAATTCAATAACAATCAATAACCAACTAATAAAGATTGATAGAACGCGTCGAAAAATGTGACAAATGCGCTCACAACAGTAACAACAGACACATAAAATATTTTCTATAGAATTTATATATAAATAATGTTTTAATATCTTTGTGCCTTTTAAGCTGACGCATAGAATTGCGCATTTTATTTTCAATAAAGCCGCCTTATGTGAACAAAGCTGATTTTTTTTTGCTCCAAGTATCAATTTGAGGGAAATTAGTTACGTTTTAATGTCTATTGAGGCACGCATCTTTAAAAATGAACACATACGGACATTTTATAGTGTAATGTAAATATGTGAAGTAAAATGAATTTTTCCTTTAATCGGCAAGCGGTGGCTTTCCATTTAAATCCGTCCAACAAGGTCTCATGTTTTCAGCCGCGGCTGTCAAAGTGAAGAAATAAGCCAACTTATACGTGCATCTACATAAATTGGGGAAATAAGAGAGGAGAAAATGACGGAAATAGCGCGTAAAAAAACAACACGTCAAAAATATCGAGTTAATTCATTCGTGAAATTTGATCAAAATTGAAGAGGAAGTTTATTCAGATGGAAGAATGCTGATAATGAACGTGAAATAAGTACTTGTTCAAACCTCAGAAGCAAAAAGTAGAACTCAAAAATAGCAGCAAAAAAAACAGAATCTCTTATATTATATATCCACGCATGGTATTTGGTGAAATATATCAGCCCCTATAAAGAACTATTTTGCGGGTTAAATGCATCGTTCGTAACAAAATTCCCTCTTTTGGAATAAGGGGGATGGGATTAGTTGAAGAGACGCGTCCAATAAACATCATGAAATACTTCAAGTGAAAAACCGCAAAATGAATATAATGCCGATTATGATTATTTTTTGGTTTATTTAAGCATACATGAAAGTGTTCGCCACCATAATAGTGGGTTGGAGTTGGGGAATGCACGTGACTAAATGCTATGAGGGTTAAATGGGTAATAGGTGCAAATAAATTTATATAGGGAGGATTCATCATCTATCGTATCGATTGAAGCGAAGAGCATAGAATAGGGCACATAACAAAAGTGCAACGATCTATACATCTAGTCTCAAAAGAAAAACTTACCATGCTAGCTTACTTACTACACGATTCTACTTGATTGTTCGATTTGTGTTCTATTAGAAGAAAGCCAACCAACCTTAATAACCTTATGATTAAGTGAACCATATGATTAGTGAACTTAATTTTCTGAAGTCTTTAATAAAAAAAACTAGGAAAAGCTTTCCAAAAATTGTGCTAAATGAGACGTGAAAAGAATGGAATGATAAAAACTTAGAAAAGAGGAGGAGAGGGAGGAGTAAAGGGACAGAAAGGCAATCTAACCCATTTTCCGCGCCATTATTTTGCAAACAAAAAGGCCCACTAATTTTGTTACTCCCTCGGATGGGTTAAAGGAAATGACAGGGAGTCACACACAAAAAGGAAAGAGCATTTAAAATATCGTAAATTGAGAATAGGACGAAAAAATGCACTTACTTTTTCTACAAATTGATGTTCAGTAGCTTCAGACGACTATTGATTAGGTCATCTCGATCCTCTTAACTAAAGGAAAGAGGCGGATCTACTTAACAATCCCCCCACCCCCTATGGTACCTACTTGAGAATCTCCACCCATAAAAATAAATACAGTAAATTAGCACTGAGCTTTCTATTGCGAATTCTAATTTTGCTGCATTCTGATTGGTCGACTGATCTTGAAAGGGGTGGAGATTGTTAAGTAGATCCAGAGATGCTCTAGATTTGAAAACTTATACCACCTTTTGGTGCATTCAGAAGCAGGTATTTCCTAACTGGGCACAACTAACCGTATTCAATGGTCGTTTGTTTCACTATTTGTCAATACATATTTGGTTACTTTTTCAAGTTTCTTAACAACTGCCCAAATTTTTTTAGAATGAAACGATTTATTTTGAAAAAATGAATATACGGTTAAAAACAAACTGATACATTTCTCGTTTTTATAATTTTAAGACTAATTTGGTATCATTTCTGAGCCTGCTTAATTCGCCGCACGCGCTACGCCTTAAAAGGTAACCGGAGATGTTACCGCGCCAGATTGACCGATTCGGGAGATGTCGTGAGCCAAATCCTGGAGTTGTTGCGCGCCAGATTGGCTTGATTGCACACATTTTTGTTGCTAAGATTTTTTGCTAGATAATGTTTATTAAAATTTTTTTTCTAAATGTAACTCAATTGTTTAATAATGCAACGTGAATAAAAAATATGTAGCGAACATTTTAGCAACGTTATAACATACTTATTGTTGATTACCTCAAAAGTATTTCTATTAGGTCAAGTGCAGTTTTGATGTCAAGCTTTTCACTCATGAATCAGAATTTTTTCCAAAAAAAATAGCTGTCCGCTCAATTCCTAGAAAAGCTGATCCGAGTTTTTTTCTTTTTTCAGACTATTATTTTTTCAGACAACACTTTTCACTATTTTTTTTTTCCATTATTTTTCAAGTAATTATATTTTGATAGTAGTTTTTTGTCATATCAAATCCCATGGACAGATGTATTTTGTGCTACTTTCATGGCAATGGGCTATTCTTCTTCAAAATATTGTGATAACAAAAAAACGACGTTTTTTGGTGCTTTCATTTAAAGCAAAATTCATTATTGGAGTCAATTTTATATACGAAGGTAAAAATTAACAATCAAAATCGAAGGACTTTTACCAAGATGGCAAAATTTTCAAACTCCTCGTGTGCATCTTGCATTCAAATTGCCCACGTCGTTTTAGTAATTTTTACCTCACGTACCCACTGAAAGCTTCTAAACTGGGTGAGTTTTTACATAGAATATCTAAATTAATGATATGCGTTATCTGTGAAGAATTTAATCATTTCTCGACAAACATTTGAAGTAAACAATTTCGAGGACGAAAAACCTGAAGTCAGCTCAGTGCTCAACCAAACGAGATAATCTTTGATAATCTTTGGCCGAAAAAAAACGTTTGGTCATTTTCGATTCCAAAAAAATGGTTTGATTTGGCTCGAACCAAACGAGATATGCTTCGACCGAGAGGATGGTTTTTTTAATCAGATCAAAATTATTAGAATTAATTGGATTTTGGCTCGACACCAGAGGAAGGGTTTTGATTCTTCATGCTTTAAATTAGAAGTGTTTCTCGCTAGGCACGTGTTAAAATAAATCAATTTAATTGCCAGCTTTTTACTCCTGCTAATGAACAAACAATTATACGAATAGAGAAAAAGAAAGTACAAGAATCACGTTCATTTTCTCGTTCTCGACCTCTAGAAAAGTTTTCGCTAATTGAATGACAAAAAAAAATTTGATTTTCGCAATGTGACCTGATAATCGTTAGCTGCTACTTTAGTTTCCGGGGTCGATGCGGTCATTTTATTCTTCGACCGTCTCGACCATAACCATCTTGACCGTCTAGACCGTCTAGACTAAGGACAGATAGTTTCGATAATCTCGACCGAAAAAAAACACTTGGTCTTTTTCGATTCCAAAAAAATGGTTTGATTTGGCTCGACCCAAACGAGATATGCTTTGACCGAGAGGATGGTTTTTCAATCAGATCGAAATTATTAGAAATAATTGCATTTTAAAACGTATTATGTACATAATCTTTTTGTTCGATTAAATTATTTTTTTATTTTATGTATAATGTGGTTTTCAAAAATTAGAAAATTGGTTGATAAATAAAATTTAATTTTTACTTCGTCGCACCGCAAGACGATTGTGCTCGTGGTATGTTTCGACCGTGCTAGAAGTATTTTTTGACCGTATTTGAGCTATCTTTCGACCGCGCTCGACTTGTGTTTTGACTGTGCTGGACCAAATTTCATGTTTAGACTGCACATTTCCTCATTCGCATATTTGCATATTTAACTAACATTTTAATAAATATATTTTTGTGTAATTCACTCGAGTTTACCGTGACAAGAAGAATAATTTTGTTTGATTTCAAAAAAGCATATTCAGGGATTTTGATTTCGTCAAAAAAAACCTTGAGAATTGGATTATAATCTGAAACAACTTTTTTATTGAAATTCAAGTCCAAAATTGAAAACTCAAAATATTTTGCTAAAGCAAAGCTCTACGTCAGGACCATGCGAATTGATCAACTTTGAATTGGGAAATTACAGATTTTTTTGTTGTGGGCAGCGATGTTTTGCTATATTTTTAAAATTTGAGTTTTACTATTTTGATAACTTTTTGTCCAGCTTAATCGATTTCGTAATACTCACTTGTAAAATCTGAGTCGGTTGTTATGGGCTTGAGTGTTCCGTGATCACAACGTCAACAAGCTAATAGTATTTTGTTGAATTTTTGAAGATAAATTTTACAAATTAAGCTGCAACAAAAAATAAAAACAAACTCTGAGCTATAGCAATCTTACAAATTTTTAATTTAGCTTTGTTTCCGCTAACTTTGTTACAAATTCAAATTTGAAATTTCTTCTTCTGGTGTAATCAAGGAGAAAGAATAACCCCATGAGAAAAAACACAAATAATTTCATCAACTTTTGGGAAACTTTTGGGCTTACCAACTTGTAGAAAAACCAGGTTCAATAAAGAATATACAATAATGGTGGAAAAGGGTAAATTTTGAAAAGTGATGTGCTTTTTTATGATTTTTATAACCACAAAAATATAATTTCTCTAAGCCAATATGAAGAGACGACAGAGAAAAAAAGAAAAAACGCAACTCTTTTACAAAATGTTTAGTTGAATTTTTGCTTAGAAGTTTAGAAACAAGGTAACTTGTCACTACTCCAATTGACCCTTTGATCAAGCATTTTTATAAAATTACAATATACGTTAAAGTACATCAAATTCCGACTTTTCTACAAGCGATTTGGCGCAAAATCTACACTAAGCTTTGGAACAGCGCGCCAAAAAACCACCATTTTTTGTCGTAACAGCCAAAAAAGTGTACTAAAAAATTATCTGTGGTCTTTTTTGTACCAATTTTGCCTACAGGGTTAGAAATCTTAAAAAAAAGATATTTATAATTTTTTTTAGAGATTTGAGACTGCTCAGAAAATCAATTTGATCGACCTTAAATTGAAAGCAAAAATAAAACAAATTTAAAAATGTTCTTAGAAACTATTACCATTGTCCATTCTGTTTTTTCTTTCATTCTCTAACGGCGTTTTTCTTTAAGAGGCTAATCTGTAGATCTTCGTGGATTCCGGGTACAAGTTAAGGAGTACATGCAGATGCCGCAAAAGTAACTGTAAACAGATTTGCAATTTTGTACCTTACATTGAACTAAAATCGTGCGTTTTTAAATAATAGCTAGAGCCAGCACTCTTATCTAGATGCTGAATTTAAAAGTCCGAACCTAGCCACTATCAGAGGAATCTACTATCTAAACTTTCCCGGGTCGAGATGCTTGACTTATGTTTCGACTTTCTCGACCAAAAATTGGTATGATTCGACCCTTTCGACCAAATTTTGGTATGTCTTGACTTTCTCGGGCAAATTTTGGTTTGTTTCGACTTTCTCGACAACAAAAAAGTGTTCGACTTGTTCGACTCAGTTCACATATGTTTCGACTTTCTCGACCAAAGTTCGATATGCATAGATTTATTTAATCGACCTTGCATAGACATGTTTCAATTTTCTCGACAAAAAACTTGGTATTTTTGGACTGTCTCGACTTTGCGACCAACAAAAAAAATCCAAAATTTTCTTCGAAAGCCAGAACAGCACTTTTCTTTGTATCAGGATGAAGCCCCGAAAACTATCAGGAGGAAGCCCTCGTTGAGGAAACCCATCAGATGGAAGACCCTAAAAGAATCCCAACTAAATATTGCGTCGGAGAAATTGTGGATAATTTCGAAACAAAAAACCAAAAAAAAAACTTTAAAAAATCCTCTTTTTGAAACATCCCGCTACTCAAGTCGAGGATTGCAATTTATGTTTGACTTTTTCAATCGAAATTGCGTATGTTTTGACTGCGCTCGACTTATGTTTCGACTGTGCTCGACCTATGCTTTGACTTTACTCGACCTATGTTTCGACTTTCTCGACTTATCTTTCGACTTTCTCGACTGATGTTTTGAGTTTCTCGACACAAAGAGCCATCTGCGATAAAAATCTGTGATTAGTTTTTAATGGTTGAACCGGTTGACCAAAGCAAGCGTCTGTCAGGGAT